CGAGGAGCAGCAGCACAACTGCTACACCTTTGCCCTGGCCTTCGTGAACCGCGTGCGGCAGGCCCGGGGCCGCGCGGCGCTGAGCAAGGGCGAGTTCACCCAGCGCTTCCTGCTGCCCCACACCTCCGAGGCCTCGCGCTACCTGGCCCTGCAGCAGCAGCTGCAGCACAGCGACGTCTACGTCGTGCCCCTGGCTGAGCAGCAGCACCACAGCGCGGCTGGGAACCACAGCCTGCTGGAGTAGCCATGGGCAAGGGAGGGTTGGGGCTCCAGCTCAGGGTTCAGGGTTTAATGTGGTTAAAAACACCATTCACTTCGCCCTGTACCACAGGGAGGAGCAGGGTACTGAGCTTGTGCGTTTCAATGTACACACTACAGAGAATTTCCATGGGAACTATTCCTGTGGAAAAATGTTTTCTGATTTAACATTCACTGTGTGCTCTGTTCTGCAAAGACACGTCACAGCAGAAATCAGAACTGCTGTGGAATTCAGGGCTTTAGAAATGAACTTCAGCTGTAGCAAACCAAAATAGCCTTTTCCTGTCACATTTGTTTACTGATGGGTGAAAAAAAGGGAACACGTGTTTGTGTGCTGCTAAATCCCATCCCTATCTGACTGTTAATTTCCTTTCCTTTAATTACTAATAAATATACCAACAAATAAATCCAGCCTCTTTGCTGTCAGATTTCTTTTTCCACTCTGAACTGCAGGGTAAAGGAAAGAAGCCAAGGTGGAATCCAGATACCTGAATATAAAGCTGCAAATCCCAAGGGAAGAAACACCTCTCATCCAGATGGGGATAGGTGCCCAGGCCCCAGAATAAATTTAAATTCTGGGAAGAGTTCCTCAATTCTGAGCTGAGATTGTAAAAATAAGTTCCAGAGTCCCAGCTGCAACAGCCAAACCTCTCTCCAAATGCAAATCTGAAATCACCACGACTGTGAAGTCAGGTTTGTGCTGCCATAATATCAGAAATAATGTTCCTAATGACAGCAGTGTAGCCACCACTCAAATATGCACCTTTTTATCTTTTATATTTTGAGTTGGGACACAGCTTTTCATCTGTTCACTTACATTCTTCAGTAAAACATCTTCTCCTGTAAACATGATACATCTCATTTTAAACAGCATTTATACACACCAAGTGAGTATGTTGGTAGAAAATGTTCTGGGCCAACAGCTCATCACGAGATCAGGTAAAAAACAACAAAAAGTAGTTTGTAAAATTGAAGTTTTCTTGTGCAATCAGTTAAAATTCATCCTGCTCACTGCGCTCACGGGAGGAAACCCAACGAGACACAATCAGCTCCTGAAATAAAACCCAGCAATTATTAAGGAAAAAAAACCCAAAAGCTACAGAAAATCAGTGAGGGATGGGGACTAGGTCTGTAAAACTGATGTGTATTATGTGGCCACTGAGATATTTTAGTAGATGACTCTGCTCCTGAAGAGAGCTGAACTCACAAACTTTTCCCCTTTTATTTCTAACCTTACCTTAGCTGCCATCTCCACAGGTTTTTCAGGAATCCCTAAATGCTTACATGCACGGTGTCAGCAACACTCCCATTCAGACAGGAGATGTTAAGTTTATAGAGATCCTGCACTGCACTTTGTATGACTTGGGGCATAAAGGAATTTAATTTTAATGCAGCCACATGTGCAAAACCCAAACCAAGCTGAAGAAGGTGGCACAGTTCCCCCAAGGAGCTGTAAAAAAGCAGGAACCACTCACCTGAACCTTGATTCTCTTCATGCACTCTGGGGTTGACATCTCCTCTGCAGTCATGTCAGAAGGTCTGATCAAGTAGCACAGCATGAGCTCCTGTGGGCAGCCAGGAAACACAGGAATTTCAGTGCATTATGGAAGCACTGTGAAGCTCACACAGAAAATCTCAGGGAAATTTCAGTCTCACTGCTCAAAACAAAATCCTGGGAAATGGAAAGAGCTTTAAAAACAAAAGTGGCTATCAGGAAACAAAGGTCCCTTGGGTCTTGCTGTTTCTCACACAACTTCAACATTCCTACAAGTGGCAGAACTTCCATAATTATTATTTAACAATAATTCTTCCAGGATTGACCTGGATATTGACAAAAGAAACTTCTCTCTTCCCAGTCTCACTCCAAGTCCCTGCCCTTTGGAGCCAGACTTTATCATCCCAAAGCTGGTTTTACCCCAGAACTTCTACCTTAGAAGCATTTGCAGTTGTTCTGTTCAGCCCAGACAGGGACATCCAGCTGAGGGGTCTGCGAAGGGAACCTTCAAAATTATCATCCACCAACTCAGCAATGACAGAGTAACTGGAAAACACAGCAGGCAGGACAAGTCACAGAAAGGAAACTGGCATTTTCTGAAGATAGCTCAAGAACTAAGGGCTAAAAACTGACATTAAAAATCTGCCAGCTTGCAGGTTGCAAGCTGTGAGACTGAGTCTTTTTCTTTAAGGAAAAGAGGAGAAATACTGAAGTTGTGGATGTGCCCAATGGTGCCTTCCCTCCCCACCCTTCTGATGTTTGTAGTATGATGTTTGTTAATGCCAAGCTGACATTTATAAGCAATTTATCATCTAGGAGTTCAACCTGACTAGCCAACAAATGAAGACAATTATCATCCCTTAAGAGTTCTTCCAAATTACATAAATAATGCAGAACACATTGTTTTTTAAGTCAGTAATAAAAAATCCAATTATTTTACAGAGTCCATCATCATATGAGTGCTAAATCTAGTGCAGCTTGTGATTTTTAATGCCTGTTATTTATATACAAAGAAATGGCGTCATGTAGCTTCTCTGCTAAAAGGATTTTGACATTCTTGGTGTGAACACAATGTATTTTGAGTGATGAATACGTGCTGAACCAGTGAAGATGCTAAATCGGTGTGAGTGAAATTTAACTTAAAGAAATGAGCCAGAAACAGGAGTGTCAAACCTGGCATGGTAAAACGGGGGCCCTTTTCGATACAGCACTGAAATGAAAGAGAAACACCTCAGTCAGATCAGAGTTTCAATGGGTTTAATACCAAAGCCCATCAACATTGGCAAATGTTCTGTAAATTTTAATTACATGAGACAAAACTTCAACTCTTCTCAATTCTGCTCAGAATTAGGTTGTCCCAGCAAGTGGAGAGAGGGAAGAGCAGCAGAGTGACTCAGGGCAGGGCAGTGGCAAGTCAAAGGTAAGGCAGAGGAACCAGAGGAATTAGCAATTGTTGTAGGAACGAGTTGAGGATGGAATTTTTTGGCAGGGATGATGAATTCAGCCAGAGCTACACACTGACCCAAAGGACTTGCTCAACACATCCCCAAACCGTGTCACCAACCACTTCAGCAGCATTAAAACACCTGCTGGGTTGCACACATCCAAAACACCTGACTTTAATGCATGGTCTCCTGTAATAACAGGCATTACTGCACTGCTCATGTTGAAACAAGCTAAATGGACTTCTGGATTTCCTTAGCAAGGACACCACTAATTACTTCCATAATATTAAACCCCCAACCAATAATACAAAGGCCAAGTCCATTCTCTAGCTCCCCCAAAAAGCCCACACAAAGAAACAATCCTAGCAGTGGGTTCAGCAGATGTCTGGCTTTTCTTAAATGGGATGAATGAGGTTCATGAACTTTAATGTGGATTGGGATCTGGATTCAAACCCATTAATTTGGAGGTGTGTTTAGTAGAGGACAGAGAAAGCTGGGAAGGGAATTTCAGTGGAATCCTGTAGGAATTATGAACCTCATGAAGCAAACCAGACCTTCTGAGCTGTCTCTTCACCTCCTGGCTATGGGATGTTCCTTTCCACTCACATCCCAACTTCACTGCTAGCCCCAAATGTCCTTTGCCAACTGAAAGCAGCAAAGGCTGCTCCAGTCCTGCAGCTCCTCACTGAATTCCTATCTGCAGTTCTGCCTTGCCTGAAGGAGGGGTGAGAAGGAAATTATCCCATTTTTGGGGAGGTACTCACAGAGATCCGTGCCATACTTCAGCCCCACCTTGGGCACCCAGCCCTTGCCCCTGAAGTAGTGGTAGGCCATGTAGGTGGTTTTGAAATCAGGCTTCACCTCACTGAACACTTCCCACAGCTTCACGATGCTCAGGGGCTCCTGCAAACCCCACAGCAAGGTCACTGCACTGAGATAAACCAGCCATCCTCTGCTGCACAGCACCACAAATACCAAATAAACACCATAGGCTGCTGCACAGAGCAGGATGTGCAGACAGTAAAATCCCTGAATTCACAGCAGGAACCTGCTGCTCCACTTAGTGGGTCTTTTAGGCAGTTCCTGTAACACCCCTGTTAAAGGAAAGGCTGATTTATCTTCAGCTAAAAGCACAGGTTTGAAGAATTATGACATAACATCAATAATAGCTTGGTAGAATTAATGTTTAAAACTCCAAGGAAGTTTGCCATCTCAGGTGTGATTACTTACCATATTATTTCTTATATTATTTACCATATTATTGCTCCTATACTTCCTGCCTAAGTTACAACAAAAATCCTTTCTCTGCAGACAGACAATGCTTAATTGTATCTGTCTTGGTAAACCTAAAGCTTTCAGACCTGTACTTCCTAAACTAAAATACCATTGCTTGTAAGAAAATCTTCCCAATTCCTGTGTTTGGTATTTCCTTCTCCAGAATTAACAGCACAAATCACTGCCATACAGGTCAAGATTCAGACCAAACCATATCCAGAGAAAAAGCATCTCCAGTAATCCAAAATTAATCCAGTCTCTTACCTCTCCATAATAAATACTTAAGCATCCCAGAGCATACACCAAGAAAAAAGCCTGAAAAAACAAACAGAGTCAGTTTAACTGATAGCTGCATTCCTCCTGTAGTTTATATGTAAAGCCTTGCAAGAACAAAGGCTTCATTACTTAATTTTCTACATCATCCCTGCTGAAGGCATGGTGCTAAAACTGACACACAAATATAATTAGAAGCAGCAGAATTGAGAGAGGATTCATAGAAATATTGTATTCCTGGTATTTCTATACTTAAGTCCTATCACTGGTCTTTGTGTCAGTGGGATTATTCACCTAAAGCAAACAGAATTGGACCCTATTTTTTAACCATCTTGTGTAATTGTCACAGCATATTAAAGCTAAGTTTAATGACTAAGACAGTCCAGGTACTTAGGAGACACAGGACCCTGTATTTTAGAAACATATTTTAGATGACAGTGTATCATAGATCAAGGTTTACTTTTCCAGATTAAAAGCAAACTAACTTGCACTGTGCTTGACACATACCTCTTCCAAGCTGAGTTGTAAGTACTCAAAAATCCTAAATGGGTTTTTTCTGCATACTAATACTTCCTTCTTCACAAGCTACAAGAAAAAAAAAACTATTATTAAAGTGTTGAACTAGAAAAAATACTGATTTCTGAAAGTAGCTTTTTCTAAAAGATTAGATTTTTTTTTTCTTACGTTCTCTTGTGCATGAGTGGAGCCATCTTCAGGACAGGAGCTGCCTTCTTCCTCCTCTTCCACCAGCACATATTCTGGAGCACATTCCCTGGAGTCCATCCCCTCCCAAGCCCTCTGCTCAGGGCTCTGCTTCCCCTCGTAGCCACAGAGCACAGGAGGGTCCCTGTGGCAGGACCCTTCAGCCATTTCCCTGGAATCCCCCTGTTCCTGGTCCCTGGAGCCACTCCCAGGATCCAGGGCTGCATCTCCTCCCTCCTCGGGGTGCTGGCTGTGCCCCTCAGGACTTTGGGCTCCCTCCCTGCCAGCAGATCTTCTGCACAGTTCTGCATTTCCCGGGCCTGGGCCCCCTCTGCTGCAGCTGTGTTCAGCCCCAGCCCCTCTGCAGAAGGGCAGCCCCAGGGGTTTGGTGTAACTCTCCAGGATTTTGGTGACAGAGCAGCTGTCGAGGCCCTGCTCCTGCAGGACACTTTGGGCCCACTGCACACGGCGCTGGTACCTGGGGAACACAAGAAATGAGGAACTCCAGGGTCTACATCCTTTAATTAACACTTTAAACCCCAGAAGGTTCAGCACAAACACCCCCAGCAGCTGCTAGCACTCGTGATTGATTCAGTGGGGCTCCAGTGTTTTAGGGAGCTTCAGGAGTATCAGGATTCTGCTGCTTCCTGTGCCTTGTTTGGCCTTTTCAATTTCCCTGGCAGCAAACAGCATTGCTGAGCCTTGCCAAGCTGCTGGGCAGGCTCAAGGAGCAGCAGCTTCACCAGGCAGAAAGTTCCTTCTCCCATGAAAGCCTTAAGCCTGAATTCCTCCCAGATTTGGAATTGGAACTGCAGGATTAAAACATGCAACAAGAGCCCTCCCACCTCAGCTTTTACACAGCCAAGGACTGAGAGCAGGACCTGCAAAACTCTGCTTTAACTGCCTTGGAAACAGCAATGGCACAGCAGAAACTCCAGTGGAAAATTCTGCAGAAACCACCTTTTTGAACCAAACCCCTCAGTTACGTTCCTGAGGAATGACAATAATCCCATCACTGAGACATTTACAACTTTCAGCTTCTATTTCTAATATTTTTCAATCATGACAGAGATTTAGTGCCTTTTCAGTTCCTTGTCTTGAAAAAGAACATTAATTAATTATTAAAAATATTAATAACATTTAATGTTATTAAAATAACATTAAGTCAGTTGCAAAATGACTCTTCATTCTGTGAAGGTGAAAATCTTGTACAGCATTTTTTATTTCCCTGAACAAAATCCTCAGGCAGCAATTTCAGCCCAGGTAACAAAGACATTAAATGCAAATTCCATGTGTCAACACAAATACAAGTCCCCCTGCAGGCTCCTGATAAAGCTGGATGATTCAGGGCTGTGCTCTTTGTTATATAAAGGATATTCCTCTCTGTCCTATTATTTAATTACCATTCAATTTGCACTTGCAGGTCTCTACTGAGGCAAAGCATTTTGTGCACCAATAAAATCACACTTTTATTGATGCTCAGTATCTGCAAGCAGCAGTAACTGGAGTAGCATTAGTAATATTATGGCTACTGTTTTTCTTACCTAAAACTGAGAGCTGCATATTGCAATTGAGAGCATAATTTTCAAATTTAAGTGAATTTTTTTTTTAGTTATCATAAGATTAAAACCAACTGAGTAACTCACCTACACACACTTAATAGTTTATACACTATTTAAGCAGAAAAAAAAATGTGGTCCAACACTGTTTTGCTAAGTATACAAAGTACCAATGTTAACTGACTTAAAAATGGTAAAATATCAAAGTATTGTAAAATTTCAAAAGCTGCTTCAGCTATACTATAAAATCCCAATATGGAAATGGAAGAGATATTTTAAATAGCCTGCCCCAGAAACTTCTTTTCCTGCTCCTCACCTGAAGAATGCTTATTATGCCTATAATTGTTACTAATTAATTACCCATTCTATGCATGCATTCAGCCTTGGCTTCTATTCAGCAATCAACACCTACAAGCTTACATGAAAAACCACCCTGAGTATCCCCCCCTACTCTATTTCTACTTCTAAAGTGATTTATAAATGAAATAATGAGAAAATAAACAGAAGCAAGTCACTGTGTCAATTCATACAGCCAGCAACCTGAAACCCAGTATGAGAAATATAAACCAGAACAATCCGTTTCCTAAAAACACCAAGAAAAAAGCAGATTCACTTACTTTTGAGATGTAATTATGGGCATGTTTGTGTTAACACCTGTGTAAAGAAAAATCATACATTGTTTCATCAATAGAAAGATGGTTTTGAGTGATTTTGGTCACTGGGGTGATCTGCAGCCTAGGAATTGTCCCCATTTTCAGTCCTCAAAGCCATTTTGGTCCCACTTTTCAAGCAAGGACACAGAAGAACCAGGAAAGGTACAAATGTAACCACCTGCACAGAAAAGAAGTAAATACACTTTTTCTCTCCAGACAATTATGGAGGGACAGGATAATATCCCATGATGGCCACCGGGACTTCACTGTCATGGGAGAGGTGAGTAAAAAATGAGTTTTTACATAAACAGCCAAGAGCAGACTGGGTGTGACTGGCTCCAAGCAGACTGAAAACTTCACCAATCCTTCCCTCATCATTTTGGGGACACCAAAATCTGCAGATTAAACCCAAGGAAAAGAAGGAGGAAAAAAATCCCCAGGGTGATCCCTTTGCTTCAGTCTTCCCAAGCAACAACTTAGTGAAGGTTTGGGGAATTATTCACATGGATTTCAACTCTTGGATTTTTCCTAGGCACGAGAGATGGGGAGAGACAGATATCCTTCACCTGATCCAATCCAGCAGATTATTCTTCTGCATGTAATTTATAAAAATATGCCTTCAGTGGGTGAGGAAAGGTGACAGGAGCTACCAGAGCAGTGCTGAGGTGAAACAGCCCCCATTTACCTCTCCACTTGGCCGCCAGCAGAGGGTCTGAAATGCTGAACACTGGCCGGCTCCTGGAAAGGATCCCTTTTCCAAAATAGCCCTGCAAAGGACAGCAAAAGCCCCAAATTATCTCATGGTACAAAAATTAACTTCTTTCCCACTAATAAAATGTGGAATGGTGAGACCAGCTGGAACAAACAGCTGAACTCCTGCAGCATTTCAGCCCTGCCTAAAGCTTGTTTAGATGCTGGTTCAGTATTAAGCATCTGATTTAACCAAGTGTTTAAATCCCATTTATCTTGGAGAGTGTTGGGTCTTCTCCCTGAATTCTAAATATTTGTCAGCCAAAACCTCCCAGCAAATGTTTGAAAACAACACCTGAAACCAAAGAGATACCACTGCTATACAATGCTGCGGAAATGGTACTCAGACACAAAAAACTGAACACAGCTTTTTTACACAGGAATAAAGCACTCTGAAGTTAAAATAATTATTATATAAACACTTATAAAACATTAATATTTCAACCCTCTGAGCTCTAAACACAAGAAAATGCTTTGAAAAGCTGCAAAACATATTGAAAGGAGACATAAACATGAAGGCTTTGCAGCTGTTTCTCAGCTCACAATGTCACTTCATTCCAAAATTTATTTGCTTGGATGAGAAAGACTTTTCACGCTTGATACAGAATATTTTTTTGTACTGATTTCAGGAGAGAAGGGGAATATGGAGAATCACAGGAGTCTGAAGGGGCAGGAAATAAAAAGGCAGCAGATTTGAACCAGTATTGTTTTACCTGCATTTAAAACACTACAAATATTGTGCAAACAGGATGCAGCACCTTGTTGTAGAGCTGTTCAATATCCTCAGGGTTCCTGACAATCACATTGTTGTTAATGATCTCAGCTTGGCAGAGTCTGAAATCCTTTCCCCCTACATCAACAGGAAAAGGAGCCTCGTAGGACTCAAAAACTCTTCTTTTCCTTCTTGGGGGGTGAAAAACTGCTTCTGCCATGTCTTACTTTGTCCTCCTAAAAAGTGGAAAGAAAAGATTTAACATTCGGGAATGAAGGTTCAATCTTTTTTTTTTTTAATTTCAGCAAGACCCCTCCTACAGCAGCAAATTCTCCGTGGATGCTTCAGGGTAACAGAGGTTTAATTCTGCAGCTCTTACACTAAATAAACACGGGCAGGGATGTGCTGCAGATCTCAGATCTGCCTCTGGGGCATCCCCTGCACAGCAGACAGGAATGCCCCTCAGCCCAGAGCTCGTGCAGGAAACTCCAGCAATAAAGGAGTAAAATGCATTCAGGAATAAAGGAACGAGCACAAAAGCAGAAACCGTACAAATGCCTAAATATGAACCGTTCCGAGGAGCTGGGCTGCGGCGGGCCCCGGGTCAGCCTGCAGGAGCCTAAACCCGATCCGCCGTGCCGAGGGACGGCGGGCAGCGACCCCTTCAGGGATCCCCTCACGGCTGTGCCGGCATCCCCTCACGGCTGCCCCGGGAGCTCCGCTGGGACGGCCGGGCCCTGCTGCAAGACCTGCACCCGGCCCCGGGGTGTCCCGGTGGGTTCGGGCAGGCCGAGCCGAGCCGAGCCGAGCCGAGCCGAGCCGAGCCGGGCCGGGCCGGGCCGGGCCGAGCCGGGCCGGGCCGAGCCGAGCCGAGCCGGGCCGAGCCGAGCCGAGCCGAGCCGAGCCGAGCCGAGCCGGGCCGGGCCGAGCCGAGCCGAGCCGAGCCGTTCCCGCCGCCCGCGCGCGCCACGCACCGTCAGCCCCACAGTCACTGTCCCCGTCACCGCCGCCGCGCCTGCGCACTGACCCACGGGAACGGCCCCGCCCCGCCCCGCCCCCGGTCCCGTTCCAGCCCCGTTCCAGCCCCGTTCCAGCCCCGTTCCTGGCCCCGCCCCTCTCCCGGCCCTGCCCCCGGCCCCAGCCCTTCTCCGTTCCCGGTCCTGCTCCATGTCTGGTCCCGCCCCGCTCCATCCCCGGCCCCGCTCCACTCTCTGCTCCGCTCCGTCCCCGGTCCCGCTCCATCCCCATTCCCGGTCTAACCCCGTTCCCGCTCCATCCCCGGCCCCGCTCCACTCTCTGCTCCGCTCCATCCCCGTTCCCGGTCTAACCCCGTTCCCGCTCCATCACCGGTCCCACTCCATTCTCGCCTGGGGGTGCGGTCCCGCCTCGTCCTAGCCCAGAGGGGGATCCGGTCTCTTCGGGGGGTTCTGGTCCTGCTTCACCCCGGTCCCGCGCCGTCCCTGCTCCAGGGGAGGTTTCGGTCCCGCTCCATCCCGTCCTGCGGGCCCGGTCTCGCTCGGGTGTCCCGGCCTGGCAGAGGTGGGCGGGTGTCCCGGCTGCCGGTCTCGAGCGAGGGATGCTCCCGGCAGGGAGGGACAGGGAGGGATGCTCCCGGCAGGGAGGGACAGGGAGGGTGCTCCCGGCAGGGAGGGACAGGGAGGGTGCTCCGGCAGGGAGGGACAGGGAGGGTGCTCCGGCAGGGAGGGACAGGGAGGGTGCTCCGGCAGGGAGGGACAGGGAGGGATGCTCCGGCAGGGAGGGACAGGGAGGGTTCTCCCGGCAGGGAGGGACAGGGAGGG